TCACCGCTTTGATGAATTTCGTATCCAAGCAACATAATTGGCATACTGCGATCCTAGTGGCCTCTATTTCTTCTTCAAAAGCGGATCTATTGTGTCCCGCTGCTACGTAGAAAGAGAAGAGTTCAGAATAGACACCTGGACCAACGTTTGCTTGGTTTTCCATGTATGACCCATCAGTGAAGACTTGGAGCCATTGGTCTGCAGGATAGTTGACATTGATTGTCTCAAGGGCCAGTGAGCGCATTTGTTCTGGAGGGGTATTTGATTTCCTGAAGAAGTCAAGCAGTTGGGTGCAACACATTACATCAGTGTCTCCTTATGGGTTCATGGATAGAGGGAGGCTTTTTTGTTTGTCATCGGTCTGTAATGCTTTCTTCAGTTCAATGCCTTTCTGTATTAGACTAGATTGTCTAGGCATTATAAAAGCTCATTAATTAGGTGCCCAGAAAGCTGAAGTGTGTTGCGTTCGTGGCTCCTGCGTCAATTTGTCTACTGGAGTAACGGATATCTTTATTTATTATTTCAGGCCAATGGAATAGATTTGACGCAAGCCACTCACCATCAAGCCCGCACAGCTCTCACATCAATCGGCGGAGTTGCGCGTTCATTCGAGCTCACTGTTTATCGTGAAAGAGCTTCTGCGTCGGAATGCGGTGAAAGTTCAAGTTCCAGAACCTCCGGGAGACGTTGCTTTGGCTCCAATTCGGAGAATCCCTTTGAACGAGAAGGTTAGACCACTGATTTTTTTTCATTATTGTAATGCATGATCTTAATTGATATCCCAATGCTTTCCCTGCATTTCAAGCGATCCTAGAAACGTTCCAAGTTCATTAGGGAAAGTGTCAGGAACACTTGAACAGGGTAGATGATGGGTCTCTGCGATGGGAAATTCACATTTTTGCTACCTACCGGCCTGAATTAAGCTGTGCGGCTTTTTGCTTCATTGGATATGCACCGATGAATCTCAGTCGTATTGCTCAACAAGTGTGAATTTTGATCTATAGCTCTAGTGCATTTTTGTTCCCATGCCCGTCATTGATTTGACATCTATTCTGTTTTCGCAGTTTTTGTGATTTAAGGTACCCGCTTTTCTTTACACAATATTGCCAAGTAAGTTGGCTTTCTTGGGTTAACAACCTTCATAATTCATCTTCCTTAGCCCTCCCGTCTTGCGTTTGTTGTTGCCAAGCTATGGCCATTAGAGCAAAACTGTCTTCCCTTCTACTATAAACATTTCTCCACTTTGATCACTTACCTACTCACCCGCTATTTAACTAACTCTCAAGTGGCTGCATAGACAAAAATAAGCAAGACAAAGCAGTCTTTCTCTTATAATTCGCTTGAAATTACTCGCACACACTCATTTCACCCTAAGGTAGAACCCCGAATGCCGTTAATCTTTTTCTTCCGAATAATTGTAATTAACCTACCTAAAATTGCAGTTAATTTGTGCAGTTGTCTTCGTTTAGTTTAGACATTTCCAATAAAATGACTTTATGGGTAAATTTTTGTTAAATTTTTTTAGAAATTTTGCAAGTGACGTTGATGAAGCGTTCGGACAAGAGGCTGGGCATCAAATTGGTTGGCAAAAAGTAAGCGATGGCTGTTATGTGTTGTCCGAGCTGTTGTGTTAATTATGATTGTCGGATTGATTTGATCCTTATATTCTTTGTAGACGTTTTTTTATAAGTTACCGTGATCGCATTTTAGTTAAGATTTAAATTCCTCTTGCCATTCCATTGTTGGGGCTTTTAGCTCTTGAATGTTCATTTATTTATTTCAAATGACAGGCGTTTTGACAGTTATCGTTAGCCTTTTAGCCGACTTCGGGCTGCACAGAAGGGAGAAACATCATCGGTGAGAAAAATTCGAAAGGGTGGAAAGAAGGGTGTTTCAAAGATGTAAAAGAGGCAGACAGACACAAAGGTAGAGGAAAGTTAAGGTGAGGTGAGTACTGTGAATGCGGTCGAATATGGCAAAGAGTCGAGTCATGGTAATTTGAAGTCAGAAGTCAACTGACGGTTTATAGACTTTATTGGCATATGAGTATACGTTGCCCAGGGTGCACCACATGGAGGTAAGGCTATGGCACACCCCAGCTTTTGAATGCTATTGGCATTTCTACTTCTACTGTCGTCATATCGACCGAAACAGAAAAGAAACTCTGTGCAAAGTAACTCATTTTCATATTTAAATGAGCCACATTTCAATTTCAAATTTATTCCACATAAGTGATTTTACGCATTCGCTTACAATCTCACTTCTGAGTTCCGTTGTGATTGATTAAGGTGCTTCTATTATTATGTATCTGTAAAGACTAACGGGTCAATACTCATTTTACTGTATAATTGGCACTCATATCTCGTTGAAATGAGATGTTTGTCCGCTCGTTTTATTCATTCCGCTCAATAGATATGCCGTGATGTATGTATCAAAGCCGTGATCTCGGATTTGTATGGCTTCAATGCTGGCCGATACGTCATTGGGATAATACTTTTGTCCTATAAATAGCCACATCAATTTTCCATTCTCGTGTCTTTTAGGAACCTGCCAGGGGTGTATATTCTGGGCCTAGTACCAGACAGTGAGGCGGATCTCGACGGTCGTTTGAATAAAGACGATCGCATCCTAGAAATCAACGGAGTCGATCTTCGGGAAGGTACACAGGAGGAGGCCGCCAACATCATCCGTGTAAGTTTTTGCTCTCATTTTCTCTCTCTCTCTCTCTCTCTCTCTCCATTTCAATTGATTTGCCAAGTCGTTCTGCTATCATTTTCACGACTGTTATCACCTTTTGTGGTCTCAAAAATGAACTTGAATCAATCTCTCAAGCCTTAAAAGTTTTATACTTCCCCATTACTGACTCCATTCTGAGATCCTTTATCATTTTGTTTAGAATAGTGCCAAGGCAAGCCCCAATTTTGGGTTTGCATTATTTCCTTTGTATGCTATCAGTTTATCATATTTTTCCCATCCAACTTGTGTTTATCTGAAATGACATTATCGTTTTTTTCTAAAACTATTTTGGATGCATCCCATATGGGTTCCAATTGCCAATTTCTAATTTTTTTTCCTAACTTATTCCATATTTTAAATCTTGACGGGTATTTCCAGTAATTCTTGTTCTTCTATGAGGAGAAGCTTCTTATCAAACTTCCTTAATTTTGTTCATAGGGTACTGTGTTTCCATCGGTATTGATTAACTTGTGTCGGTTTTTTTACTGCGGTAGGTATGTCATTCTGCTTGGTAGATTGACCAAACGAATGTAGCGTGTCATCTTTCCTCTCAGGTTTAAAGTTTGCTTCGCCAAGTTTGGGGGCAAGTTCACTTGGCGAATATGACCCAACGCGCATTGTTTCGGCTTGTATGATAGCCACTCCGCGCTTATTTCTTTTTTCTGTCTGCATTTATTTGTTGGATCGAGCTTGTTCTCTTACTGCCATCTATTATTCGGTATTTCCATGCCTTGATGTTTATTTGATGTCCTTCTCCCTCCTCTCTTTTGATAATGCAGTGTTTTTCTGCATCACGAGCTCTACTGGTTTTTAGTAAATTTTCTTATTTTCCACTCTCCTAAGTGATTGGCTCTCCAGACAATTACTAGGAGAAACTAAAGGTCAGCTGTGGTTTGATCTTTAAAAGTCCTTCGTTTGAAATGGCATTTTAGTATCAGTAGGTGTTTTATTCAACTACTCACTGTACTAGATCTATCTTGACTCAAGGGAAAGTGTTATTACCAATGGTTGGCCAGAGTTATTTTGATAGGAACTGCGAAGGGAAGAGGGGGGAGGAATTTGAGGTTGATGTTAAATGAAATATGTAAATAATCGCTTTGCCTAATTTTGCACGAAGTACTGGGGCTATGTATAAGAAAATTCTAGTGATCTAGTCTTTAGGCTGTTGATATTTTAACTGTATTCATAAACTTAGGTTTACATTTTCCTGTAACATTTACACGGGTTGGTATTTGCACGCCCAGTGCATAATAAAGTGGTAATATTGTAATATCATAACGCGATTTAGGAAGTGTCTGTAAAACCCCTATCTTTCATTCTGTATGCTTAGTTTAGCCTATTGCACACAGTTGAATTTTGTGTTCAAAAGAGGTAATAATTTTGGCTAAGTTTTATTCTCCTTCGTACTGTTGCTCTGGGATTTTCGAAGTAATAAGCTGAAAATAGTAAATCCTTGAATGGTTTATGGGCCATTTGAGAGGCGCTTAATCTGCCCATTCCAGTTTTTCCAAAGTGGGAGTATTAGTAAGAGTAATTAAGTGCATGCTAAAGAATGTGTGAATTGGGCTTATAATCTTCTTTGCATTTGAATATTATCAGATAAGCTAGGTTAGCATCGGTCTCCTATGTCAAGAAGACATGAATTTAGGAGCTATTCGTCTAACAAAGAAGTCACTGCCAATTTGATGCACAAGAATCATTGGTAGCGAAACGAAGGAAAGTCTGAAAATTGTCTCCTTAATACTTCAAGTTTCAGTCCATTTTTCCTGAACTATGATTGGCTAAAGTATGCGTAACTATTTGTGAGCCACTTTGATGTTACCCGCCTCATTCGGTGTTGAGCTAAGCTATTACTTGTATACATTCAAGACGTGAGGGGAGGGGGGGGGGGGTTAGTTAGTCGTTTAAAAAAATCCCCAAATATATCTTTGGACATCGACAGGGCGAAAACTTTTTGTTGGACAAAGATCACTGCTAAGAAATGCTAAAGCTTTGGGACATTTCCTTCTCACTCTTTATTATATATTCTCCTTTCTCTAACTAGAGTTGTGAAGAACTTGATGAAAGCAATCGCTGGTACTCTATTTTTTGGTGCTGCACCCAATTTGGTGGTGGAGTAGCTTAAACTCTCTCAGAATAGAGAATATTTGCAGTCAAATCACCTTACTAGGATGCCTGATCGGTTTTCATAGCCGCTTACTTTGGGATCCGCTAGATCAGTGGTTATGGGCTAATTGGTGTACATTCTGTGGGGGAGTTCACTAACCGCACTGGTTAAGTCTGGTTGATAGAGGGCGATAAAATCCATCTTTGTTAATAATGCTAAACCTCTACGCACGACATATGTTTGAAGCATAAACGACGGGTTCGTTAGCTGAATCTTTGTATGGTTGTTGGTTAACGCAATCGAATATAAATTATTTGAGTGTAAAGACGTGAATATTTGGCCAGGGAAATAAGAATAAGTGTGCGAATAGTGATGTGGGTATGTGGGGTCACTTGAGGATAGTGTGCGTGATTTGTGACCTTTCTTCTATGCATCTTTAGACTGCAGAAGAGCACGTTGCTCTTGTAGTAGCCCGTGTCATCCGTCCCAACACTCCAGAGATGCTTCGCTCCGATAGTGGGGAGTTCTTCGTGGACTTTGGCGGTGGCAGCAATGGAAGCAGTGGCACAACCTCAACCTCAGCAGCTACACGTTCTCCTGGTACTGCAGTTCCTCCTCCAGCTACTACCGCGTCTGCTCTTCCGTCCAGTCTCAAATCACCGTCTACTCGACTCTGTCGTGAACAGGTTCGTTGTATTGGCATTGGGAAAAATTCTCACGTACTTAAACATCATTTGAGTCTCAAATGGCTAAGTCCACGTGAAGAAGCACCTTCCATTTTTTCTCTGTTGGTGGTTCCCAAGGGAATGTTCAGGTTGATTTGCTGTTTCCACCTAATGGCTCTCGTCTAGGGTTTGTCTTTTTTTCCTATGAAAAACAGGAGGTATTCTCAAACTCATTTGCATCAGTCAATCACTCACTTAAATTTCCTTTAAGAAATTTGCTGCCTAGTGCACAAGGTCATTGGTTTCCACCATCTGATAATAAGTCATTGGTTGAATGTTGGACCCTGATTAGGCGCTTTTTCCAACTGCTGCTATTTTTTTAACGTTATGGAACACTGGTCAATCATCTATAATTATTGCTGTAACCCCCAAAGTTGCCTAGTGTCAGGCTAAAAAAGCGTAATTTATTTGCACTTGAAAGTTCTCTAGTGGCACTAAAGCTGACTTTTCTCATCCCCTTTTCTGCTCTGCCCTTCAAACGAGGGTTTGTTTCTCGCAAGGCCGATCGAGTGAGCTCTTTCATCAGTGAGTGGCGAAGATCTATCTGAAATCTGCATTTTTTTCTATGAAATTGATCTGGGAGTATTTGTTCAGCCTAAATGGAATGGAATTCTTTTTGTTTATTTGACTACAAATACTCAACATTTCTCTTCTGGAATGTTGTTTAAGTAGCAACTTATGGCTATCTGATAGCTAACAATGGCAAACAACAGTTCTAAAAGTTGAACACATAGAGTTTTCTGGGTCAAAAATTGCCTTAACAACCACTTTGGGGATTCGAGCAAACGAGAGGAATGAGTGACAGATGAGGTGAGAGGGTGGCGTACTGGCAGATGCACGACAAGTGCGTGTGTGTGCGTGTGTCCGCGCTTGCGTGTCTGTGTGGGGGTGGTAGTAGAGAAAGGCAATCTATGTGTCACTTCGACAAGGACTCACGTCAAGGGTGTGAGTGCAAGTGGACTTTCAAATGAAACACGGAGATTCTACGTAAGGAGTAGATTCGATGACCCCTTCTTGACATGACAGGTAGGGCTCTTAATCATAGACATATAAGGGTATCACTGTGGGGTTGTGGGCGAAAAGCCAGCGTAATTTCACCTTTCTTCGTTCCCGGGTTAACTTGGCTTAACCCTGAATTCATTTTAAATATGAAAGAACTTCGTCGGATTTTTAATTTGATGTTCTCCACTCGCTGTTGCCACATAAAGTCGACATTTGACTGATTTCTATTCGAAATCTTTACCCCTCACTGTCCAAGTGAAAGTTTATTGAATTGGTCCCTTAAGTAATTCGTTTCTCCTATTCAGGTGCTAATCATGGGGTAAGTGCAGAAAACGGTTTGAGGAAAAGTGCATATAGTGCTAATATTAAATTAATTCAAATTATCAATGGAACCCTACCTCACTTGATTTTTGGGACCTGAATATGTAGCATCTGTCTAGGCGGTTCGCAGATTCATAATTCGAAATTCTCTCTTAGTGATGCGTCTTCCGAATCGTTGATCCATAACCACGGCAACTAGGGCTTAGCAGTCTGTTGTTTAACAAGGATTGATTAAACCGGACTTGAGTGCTTCTTTGAGTCGAGTAGTTGGCTGATAACTGCTTGCGAGATTTAATATGACATTTTGTTTGAATTGTTATAAGGAATTAAGCTAATTTGCAAAACTTTTTAATCATTTACGGGGGAAGAGACGGCTTAGCCCCTACCAAAAATTCGCATCCTATCCCTCTTCCAGTCTATGGGGTTGGCATTTTTTGCCCTCTCCCCCCTCCTCCCC